TGATTTCATACCACCCTGACTCGTACAAAGTGAAACAAAGTCTTAATATTGGCATCTAAACTCCAAAAAATGTATTTTGTTGATGACGTCATTTTTGTCTTTGTTTAATTGAGATTATCTCACGTATCGGTAATCGATTTTCACCCAGATTTTAATATGTTGTAGCTGAGATAATTTTCTATCAGAAATTTGATATATATTATCATTTAGATGACGTCATCATAGTATAATATTCGATTAAAGGCGGCAATGCATAATTTGTCATATTTGCGTGTTATGTCTATGGGAGGTCACTTTTTTCAAAACATGAATCTGCATGACAGTGTGTTTTGACCAGTGTCTCGGTTGTTATTCAAAACAGTTTTCAACCAAATCTTAATATGTTGTAGCTGAGACTATATGCTTTCTAAATATTTCCTCATTTTTTCAATCAGATGTCAGGATCATGCTCATACTCATCATCGTCATCATCATCATCAATATCATCATGGTCTGAAGATGATAATCATCAACATCATCATGATCATGATCATTATCATCATCATCATTAACATTATCGTTTTTATCATCATATAACATTATCATTATCATCATCATCACCTTTACTATCATGATCATCACCATGTTCATCATGATCATCATTGTTTACATGTCTATATAACTTCTCCCATTCTCAAATCTATCATAAGACTTAGACGGATCACCTTATTCGTCTTCGTGACGAATTAAATTTCTAGTTTATTATTATTATTATTTTATTTTTTGTTTTCTGTTTGTTTGGGGGGGGGGGAGGAGGAGCTTATTCTTTCCCCTTTTTCGAAATTTAAAGCTTTCTCTCTCTCCCCCTACTTCCTTTGCTTTCAAGAGCTGTTTCCACTCCTGTGAATATGTATCTTTTTCTGATGGCAGGTTGTCTTAAATCTATGTTGCCACTATACTTCATGTGGGGGGGGGGGGGCATATGGAAATACATGTGCATGTATGTTAAGCACACAATATAAAGCTGGATTATGGCTTGCATTTAAAGGATTAATTCCAATAATGAACAATTCAAAGTCCTGGGCAGATAAAGGTCATTTGTTCCCAAATTGTAGGTATTCATGAAGCACCTCCATCACTTCGGCAGTGATTATCCTAAAATGCACAAGTGGGACGTATCCATCGTGTAAAAAATCTTTGGATATTTTGGGGTCATGCCTTCCAAGGCTATTTACGAACTGGCTTATTGGAGCCCACTGACAGGTACATGTACATGTAAAAGTACAAGTTATCATCAACCAAATGATGTTGCTTTTAATTTTGCAACTGTTCATTACATGCCTTGCCATGTGAGCCAGCACCATCAATCAATGAAAGTGTATTCGTTCCCCATTCAAGGGCTGTTTGAACAAGTTGCCTGAAAACTGGCTGCAATTACCCCTTGTGCATTGCCCAATTATAACTCAATTAGATCTAATGTGTAAGATTGCCTGGTGAAGCTTCTCCCCGAGTGCCTTTTACAAAGAAGGCACTCTCTATGCATAATGAGCCAAATAACCCAATATAATCTGGATGGATCTCAAAACGATTCCTACAATAATTGGATTCAACTTGCAATGTTTACATCAGCTGTTTTATAACACAATAAATATATTGTATAGTAGCTGTTTACTAGACAGGGAGATTATGTTTTTATCATGTAGAAAAAATACCAATGACTGAACGATAAATAATGAAATAAAAGAATAGAATTATATAACAAGGGAAACGCTCTCGGCGGTCTCGCCTGAATAACGCAATTCAATATGATAAACCAGAACGTCAATGACGTAGAGCTCATCCGCATCTCACAACAACAAATATCGTAAATTTTATGTGGTACACTTTTGAACTGGTCAAAAAATAGAAATTTGATGCCCTGGAAGGGACATAATTTCATTTCATTTGCATAAAGTACCATAAATAATCAATGGAGCAAAATCTCACAATTCTGTGTAGAAGTTTATTGTTCCAAATTTAGCTCTACCAGATAAGGCAAAATCGGTCAAGAAATGAGGGAAAAGAAGCAATTTTTGTTAATTTTGGAATAAATTTGCATAAATTACCATAATTAATTAATGGAGAACAATTTCAAAATTCTGTGTAGAAGTTTAGTGTACCAAAGTTAGCTCTACGATATAAAGCAAACCAAATCAAAATCGGTCGAGAAATGAAGGAGAAGAAGCCTTTTTTGTGATTTCGAATAAATTTGCATAAATTAGCATAGATAATGAATTTCACGATTCTGTGTAGAAATTTTAAATCCCCTCCTAGCCCTATCATATGAAACAATCAGAATCAAAATCGGTTGAAAAATAACGAAGAAGAAGCATTTTGAAAATCTTAATGTTGATGCCACAACAAAGTCTAAGTTTGTTGACCTTAAATGGCCTATGACCTTAACTTAGTGACCTGAAATTCTACTCACATGATTGGGGAGACTTGATAACCCTATAGTCCAAGTTTCATTGACTAAGAACTTATACTTTCAAAATTATATCAAAAATTCAAAAACTTAACCTTAGGTTAAGTTTTTGATGATGATGCTACAATATAGTCCAAGTCTGTTGACCTGAAATGACCTTTGACCTTGACTTTGTGATCTGAAATTCTACTCACATGATTGGGGATACTTGATTACCCTATAGTCAAAGTTTCATTGACTAAGAACGTCGCCGTCGCCGTCGCCGTCGCCGTCGCCGTCGCCGTCGCCGTCGCCGTCGCCGCCGCCGTCACCGGAAAAGCGGCGCCTATGTCTCGCTTTTTGCTACGCAGGCGAGACAAAAATGACTGAATAATGATGCAAAATTGTTTAAGCACTACCAACAATGCCATTCGTTAATTTAACTCCAAATGCAATTCTACAAAATATGCAAGAGATTTAATAGTGTACATGTACGAATTTGCATCTTTATGTTCTGATATTTTCAAATATATAAATACAGGATTGATCTCCACTAGTATACTGTGCACTACATTGTACACATGTATGGCTCATTTGCCAATATGGCAACGAGGAAGAATTACATCTGAACCTGTATTTTCAATTTGTGTCATACTTATTATGATGAAAGGCTCAACATTGATGATTATTGTAGTTTTAATTATACATGTATCGTTCATAGTCCATGGTTTATATTTATGTTAAGTTATTTAAGTTTGTTATATACATCCATGTGTATCTTCCTGCTTATGGAATAGATAATTTGTAGCCTAGTGCAGGAAGTATGCCAAGTGTTCACCTACCATGTACCAAACACATGTGCATAGCAACCAGAGGGTGGTGCATGTAATTCTAATGGCATGCATGTGATAAAGGAATCAATACAAATGCAGATATAGTGGGCTGTACAGTAGAGTGTCATGTAAAGCAGGGCCTTTACGTACGTAATATGAGGCCGCTAAGAGTCTGACAATGTCGTGAACATGCAAATTTAGGGCATGGCTGAGGGCTCATGTACAGTATGTGCATGGTACACGCAATGTACATACATGTAAAATTAATCTGAATTCTTGTGCTGGGCCAACATTTAATACAAGAAAAAAAAAAGTAAGATTGGTTTAGGCTGGACTGCTGCTACAATCTACTTTGTGCAGTAAATTAGATTGTGTACTCGCAGACTCAAACCCCGTTTATATCTGCCAAAAACGTGAGGTAACCTCTGGAATTCGTGCCGCGTCACCCCTTGTTCACTGTAAATATGAAGGCTTGCACCACGAAGGACACAAAGCACGAACACGGCACAAACAAGAGGTAAAAGGCATGCTAGACTGTCTAGCACGTCTTACAAAGAGTTGATATTAATTGCAACTTATTTGCGATCGATATCAATCGCAACTATGTACACAAGAGATAGGAGAATGCAAAATTGCGATTGATTTGAGGACTTGCGATTGATTTGGATGAATCAAAACTCTTTGTAAGACGGGGCCAAGCGCGTCACTAAACGGTTTTATTGCAGGGCATACAAAATGTCATCTTGCGCTTTATACCTCAGACAATCTTTCAGTGTGACACCAATACCCTTTTCTAACTGGCCTGATTCAGACGCATCCGATGAAACGGCCAGTATGAAAGCAACAGAGGAGAAAAAGGCGATTAAAACAGCGATTAAAATGTTCAAAGGTCGCAGTGTACGCGCGCTTTATCGTAACCAGCTGTGTTTGTTGACTTATGGTTGAACATGCTGCATGCTACCTAGATGGAGCGCGGGCAATAATCATTACGCAATAATTCTTCACTTCCGGCAAGGGCCCGCCACAGCGAGTGAATTTCACCGGCAGTATGCAAGTGACAGGGAGAAAACGGCGGTTTCACCTTTGTTTACAGAAGGAAAATTCAATCGGTATTTTCATTGGTGTGACTCACAAAGAAGCCAGTTTGAAAGCAGTATTAGTGATACCAAGTGTATGAAGATATACACAGGGTATAGGTTCTAGCCTACCTGAAGCCATCAAGAATTCATTGTTAAGATTAAACTAAATGATGTGCTTGCAAAGTAGACTACCATGCACTATCTAAATACTAATGATGTGTTTACATGTCTGTTATTCCCATGTACCCATATCAAAATTAATCGTGCAGAACCATAGGCGTGTCTCCATCAGCTCGAGATTGCCAAATAGCCCTTATTTCTGATTTTGGGAAATAATCCCAAAGTTGCAAATCGTGTCGTCATCAGCTCGAGATTTGACCTCGAAACTTGACCTTGAGATATTAGCTCGAGATATTTTGCTCAGCATTTGCGCACAATGTGAGTCTTCGGGCTGGTGAAGACGCACCAGACAAATAGAGGGATATTTTGCAAACTATCCCGAGATATCTTGGGATGATTATCCCAACCAAATATCCCGCTAATTGCAACTTCGGGCTGATGAAGACGCAAACTAACTGGATAATTTGCGATCGGAATAGTTGAAATAGCGGGATATTTGGCAATCTCGAGCTGATGAGGACAGGCCTCGTGTTAATGACGGCTTACCTTGAAATGGTATGCTAAGCTGACAATGAACGGAAAGGAGATGGCTTGTAGAATCTTCTTCTCATTTAGCGTGTGTTCAACTTGCTTCAATTTTACAACCTGCGCAAATAAGAAAAGAAAAGAAAAAGATGGATGGTAATTTCAGACACAATTTTAATGGGCGACGGTGTTCAGCAGGTACACTGTAGGCCAACATCTACAAGACTTACCGGTATACTAATTATGAATGCGGAAATGTTATACCATGAAAATTTGAGAAAAAAAATTGCTTAGCCTCAAATAGTATTCATGCTGGAAAAGTTGACACAATACAGTGTACTGTATAATATAATATAATATAAAGTATTATGTTTTAAATATCATGCACTCTTTCTAACGAAACAAAACAAACAAACAGACAAAATAGTCAAAATATGTCAATAGCCCTGATAATGATATGGGAAGCAAGATCAATACAAAATGTACGGAAAATGACAATGGCTTGGAATCTTGCTTTGATAATAATGATGTACTGATTATGGGAATATTTTTATATTTTGATTTCTTATTTACATTGGAAAGTAGCATTGATTTCTTTTGTGTAACATCAATATTGATAATTTTCTTCAAACAGTTGTCACTTGTGGAAGCAACTTCTCTCATGCTAAGCCAAATTAATAACCATTCCCTTTTTTTTCCAGACCTTGTCACATTGCATTTGTGTTGGTTACCATTAACCATGCAAATGATGGTAGACAAGAATACTACACCATATAACAGCACAATTTCCAACATTTCCTACATGTACAATCACGTACATGTAGGGGCTTCCCCCCCCCCCCCTCCACATATTTAATCAAAAAATGGAAATAACCATTGCATAATGATATTGTTAATCATAAATATGTAGTCAATTCAAGATATTTTGTTTCCATTTTTGGATAAAAATGTGTGGATGGATCTACATGTACAAACTGGCACAGAATGGCCATACAACAGACATTGTCCGTGAGTAAACCTCAAAAAGGCACGGGCAGAAAATCATTATCATCCAAATTTAGAATGCCCACGTCCGTCCGTTGGGTAATATCAAAAATCAATGATGCACGATGTGATTGTGGTATCACTTGGTAATGAAGGGCTATTTTTAGAACTGACACCTCCATTAGGATTGAGTAGCCCTAATTGATTGTTTGGATAGCTCTCTATCATAATAGAAATCCATTATTACTGTCAGGTAAAAAAGATGAATAATAACATTGAGTTTGTGGTTGTCAAGATTGCAAGAGGACAATGACTAATAAAGCCCAACATAAAATGGATATTATATCCCCGTCCCTGTAGATGCTTACTCTTGAATGGATCTACAGTGACGGGTTCTTCATTTTGTATGTGTATTCTATACTACATGTATAAGGAGCCACATGCATGCACAAGTACAGTAGTTACTCCTAAAGTGTACATGACTCCTAAAGTGTACATGACTTAATTAATATTTTTGCCACAAACTTACACATTCTTAAACTTTTTCTGAATATTTTGCGAACAGATGTAGTTTTGCATAATTAGCAATATTTGTCAACAATTTATTCTACTTTTTTACATGAGAATTTAATATTACAACAACAACAACAAAACCTTTTTTAATACCGTATTAATTTTTAAATATTTGTATACATAAGAGACAAGTTTCATATGGTCTAAATCATTGACACTAACATCATTGTACTCATAATTTGCAATAAACATTATTATCATGTTTAAAAAATAAACATCTCAAGTTACATGTACGATTCATAACAAGACGAAGGCTCTCATCCCTATCCAACCTTTATTCTTCTTTAATCCTTGGGCTCCTACTCCAAAAAATTGATTCCTCCGCAAGGTTTTTCGCCTTACCCCCATGAAGCATACCTCTCTCTCTCTGCCAGCATACTCCAAACAGCAGGGCAGAAATGACTACTTGAATAGGACAATAAGACAGGTGCATACCTTTAGGATGTCCACTTGAGAAAGAGTCAATACGGATCAGAAATCAATTAACCCTTTCTTGCCCGGTATCTTGACAACCCCCTGCTCAATGCACTTGTGATATCGTGTTTGGGAAGGAATGACTTAGCTTGTGGAGGACGGAAAGGACTGGAAAGGACTTGTAAGGATGGTCTTGAAATGTTGTATGGGGGATAGGGGATTATCAGTCAAAGCTGTCAAATGCTACCAAAAGCACATCCTGACATTGATGACATGATAACGAGGTGTTAGCCATAATGACAATAGCACCAGGGGAACAATAACCAAAGGTGTATAATGATGGGTAACAATAAACCATCAATGACTAGTATTACTAAGTACTAACTCCTTATTGAATAGTACTACTACATGTACATGTATTTATAAACAACTTACATGTAGGGCAATTTAAGCATGACAGACGGGTTATAATCCAAACCTCTCATTTTTATGTCTGTACCTGACATTTTATTGTTCATGTAATATTAATGATGCTCATATTGATGTAGAGTGTGACCTATGGTATTCGGTTCACAAAATAGGAAAATTATGTTTTTTCAAGCCCCGCCCACAAATATGAGTATTCCACTTCGTCTTCGTCTTCGGCTTCGATAAACTAATTAGCCAATTTTGGTATTCAGTTCAAACTTTTGGCTCAAGTATTTTACCCTAAATTTAAGACAGCTCCCTACCATATGTACGTAAGCCAATTATTTGGAGGCCTTGATTGGCAGGCATATGGTTTTCTATCGCAGTATCATAAACTGCGCACAATTATATTAGCGTGCATTTATTGCAACGCATTAATTGCACATTACTTTTGATTGACAGTGTGATGTCACAATGCTTATCAGTACATATTTTACTTAAATTTTGTCTAAAGTATGTAAAAGTCTAAAATGCAATAGCAGAGCTAAATGTATGCAACTCAAAGTTCAGACTCTCTTCTTGAAAAGCCGAGCCAAAAGTCCTTATGCTCAGTGCAAAATATACATCTGTACTGAAAGCAATAATCCAATTACGATTTTATGACATATTTTGGGCAGAATGATACGTGTACATGGGTACACAATATCCACATTAAAAAAAGCTGAGCTTTTACAAATAGACGACCTTACTCGTGTTTACATTGCCTTCTATTTTTGTAATCCCACCCAAATCTTTGCACAATAGATTCAAGTGAAAAGGCACTTAAGAAGTTATTTATAACCTAAAAATAAGCAGGATCATTACATTTCCTCATTGCCTGGAGTGTTATAAAATACCAACTGCAACATAATCTTTTGTACTTGTAAATGTACATGCTCCTCAAAACAGTACACACAGTTGACATTGATAAGTAGCTCTATATTTTGAAGTGTGAAAACAAAAATCCCAGGATTTGTGCAGGTACAGTATTACTATTAATACTCAAGTTCCTGGTACTTTAACCAAAAAAATGCAATGGGTGTATTTATACTTTCCGAGCAGAGGGTACCTTCAAAACGGGTGTCTGTGGCTCGTGAAGTGGAATTCTATTTCAAAGCACTATATACATTATGCAAGCTACTAAGCTCTAGGTCTGCATTGAAAAACAGGTCTAGATGCACATACTGTACATGTAGCTCAGCCCCCCCCCCCCCCCCCCCAAAAAAAAAAAAAAAAAAAAAAAAAATTATTATGCAAGTGTGGAAGAACATCAGAGAAACATGTCCCCTGAAAAGCATGGCTCTTCAAATGCCTTCATATTTTAAACAGCTTAAGAATGAGGCCTGATTTTTATGCCACATGTTTGTGTAGTCCCATACCCATCTTTCTGTGTACAGTGCTTGTTACTTTTACCAAGACTGGACCAAATTTCTTACCATTTTGATGACTCCAGTACCTTGCAGTACACACCAATATATGCTACAGGATCAACTTTTTCTGATCGATTCCACACTGTTTCTTTCACAATGCAATCAAGGCCGTAGCATGCAATCAAGTCCCCTTTTGAAAAATGTTTGAGTGGAGCCTTGATAAACGTATGGCCTGTATAGAGTACTGAAGCTGTGACGTCATAAAAATCTATTTTTAGAATTTATCAATATTTTTCTTCATTTTCCGAAAGAGCATCAAAAATAATGTCCAAATGTCGAAAAACCAATTTAAGTATTGGCTGAGATATGACCATCTGAATAAATATATTTCCTATAGGAACTCAGTGTTACATGTATATGCTCTGGCTCCTAACCATTAGGAGCCAGAGCATATAACACTGAGTTCCCATAGGGCATATATTTATTCAAATGGTCATATCTCAGCCAATACTTAACATATTAAATTGGTTTTCGACATTTGGACATTATTTTTTATGCTCTTTCAGAATGAAGAAAAAATTGAGAAATTCTCAAATTAGATTTTTGATGACGTCACACTTCACCACTCTATTAGGGATAGGCGCTCTAGAAGCAGTTCTTGTATCATTTCAAAATATTCAAACATGGAAATCTTTTCATCTTCAATTTTTCATGAAAAATCAAAAAAATAAAATGTACTTTTGAAGTTGAAACAAATCACTCACCTTCTGTTTGTCAAGAATTTTCATTGCGTAGAATTTTTGTGTAGGTTTATGCCTGACTAACATTACCCGACCGAAGGACCCGGTCCCGAGGGTTCGTATTCTATCGAAGTCATCGAGGGCAGCTGTGTTCTGGAAAGAGCAGAATCAACAAAATACATTCAGAAAATATCTTATACTGAAAGACATTTGAGAATGAAAAAAAAATCAGATATATATTCAGAAAATAAAGGTTAGGGTGTATATTGACACAGTCCAAGAGATAATGGGTTGGCATAGAAATTAGAATTACAAATAATCACACATGAAGAGGCGTTAAAGCCAAACCTGTGGTCTCCTAATTACCAATAACAGATAATCACCAATTATTTAATGTACATAATCATGTGCAAACATGTATAATTAGAATCAAATTTGCGTGGTGTCTGCATTATCACACCTGATCAGGAATTCCACATAACCATAACCGTGAAGATAACCAACAAAATGCATGTTTCAAGTATGCATAATACATGTACATGTACAGGTTTTACAATCTACATGTACCTTTATGTTTTAAATGGCTTTTAATTTATAATGGTTGTAAATCAAATTGTAAATATACATGTACATGTACTGTATTTAAGCACATAACAACTTATTTCCAACTTAGAAAAAAAAATCAGCATGACAGTGAAGAAATCGATGACTTGTTTGAAATTGAAATACAATCATATAAATGAAATGCACAGGAATACAACGCAAATGTATATTAAATTGAAATAGTCACAAGACAAATTTCTTCTCTGACGCAAAGACTAAATACGAATTTAATGATTTAAATTGGCTTTTTGCTCAGTACTCATAAAAGTACAATACTGTATCTACATGTACATGTACAGTACATGTATCAAACATGGCGCTCAAAGCCGTCAAATATTATAATGCATTTTTTATAATACCTGTGTACTTACATGTTTGTCGCAATCCCATTGCTTTGTAAAGCTCTCTTTTGCTTCAGTTAGAAAATCCCTCACTGTAAAATAAAAACAAAATAAAAAGGTCAGCAAAACTGATGGAAGGGGATTGTAAACACAGTACACAATTTGGCATATTGTATACCCCAAAAAGCATACACATGTACAGTTACATGTACCAACTGCATCTGGGGAAGGAAAAAAACTTACTCTACAATATACCTGCATCCACTCCATACAACCCCATACTATTCTGATAAAAATTGGCAATCAAACAAAGTACTGTACATGCTTGGTTGGTAACAAACCAGACAGTGAACTATTAGTCTAATTCCCCTTTCCCCCAATATACTGTATAATAAAAACCTTTTTTATAGCAGACATGATCAAGTATTTTTTACTGTGCATCCACTGCATATTAACAGGACGTAGTAGTTTCTAATCTTCATCCAAAATTTGCACAAGATCTTGAAATTTCTAAAGATATATTGTTGATTGACCACATAAACATGCTTTCTTGAATTTCAAGTACCGGTATTAGATTGCAAAGGAAAAAATTAAGAAATTATTAATGAATCTTAAAGAAAACAGCTGGATAAGCCGCTGGTCCTCGCCAAGCTTTATTCTTTATTGATGCATCGTTCTCTGACATGAATAATCTGATAGAAAGCTTTAATTAATTTTTCTTTAATTTATTTATTTATTTATTTTTTATTTTTTATTTTTTATTTTTAATTTTTTTAAATTTTAAATTCCCCTCCTTTTTTCTTCTTCTTACCAAGCATTTCTTTGATTACCAATCACTTGTACACACTCTCCTCAAACTTTAATAACATGATTTTTTGGGCAAACTCACAAAAATGCCAATTGCATTGTTATTGTCAAGTACATGTACAGGTTTATAGGTTCTCCCCAAGTACATGTACTGGATACATGTAGGTCTGAAACCGGAATCATTACAATCATCAGATACACACCAATTTGAAATCGTATTTGATAATATAACATATTGTACATGACAAAGTGACTTTAACTTGCTATTTACCATAATACTTCCTATGACCAAACAGAAGAAAACCAATGATACAATGCATTTTATCACAAATTTTTCTTTTTCACTTTTGACAGAAGGGGTGATCATCTTTGCTGCTGAATATAATAGCAACTTGACTTCAAAAATATGGGAATACTATTTGCTAAGCTGATAAAGAGCACAAGAAGTGTGTACACAATAAAGAGGGGGGGGGGTGGGAGTGTGGTTAATCCATATTTGCACAACTGTTGACAGCAGAATAAATGTATGCTCCACAAGACTCAGTTGCCATAGGATATAGCACCATTAGCATGTACATTAAATTTCAATGAAAGAGTGTACGGGGTGGGGAAACTGAAGATGCGTTGAGCGAGGCGATACCACGTAAGCGGAGCCCTCGCTCGCCAGCCTGCAATAATTATGTGAATGACAGATATCTACCCACGCTTGGGAATAGCTGATGATTATACAGCGAACATGTAATGCCATGTTAAAGATGTCAGACTAATGAAGGGTTGAGTTACGAGGAGAATCAAGGGCAGGAATACAATTGATTTGCACTTGTATGACTGTCAACAGAAAAATAGAGAAATGAGGGATATACTGTACGTGTAGGTGAATATTAATATAACAGGAACATGTATTGCTTGTGTACATGTATGAAAGGGATGCCTTTGTAAATTTGGGGTACACAATTCAGACATTGGAAGAGAGAAAAAATTAGCATACATGTACATAAAGTTTATGAACACAAATAAAATAATTTACATGAATTTATACCTAGACACTATGAGTAGGCCTAATAACAACTTGTGCTTAAAACCAAAAGGAATAACAAATCAATTGAAGAGTAACACAATTTTCAATGCAGCCAATCTCATATGCTTTGCTGTAGAAAACAACACACCCAAGCTTAAAAAAGAATGTCAACCTTGATTATTACCTAGGGGTTGAGATACAAAACCATGTTTGTCTCAATGATATCCCTACCTGCTTGTTATTCTATCCAAAAAAAAATAGTTATACAAATATGGTACATGGTACTGAACGATGTTACTTTTCGAGTTAAGTGAGTGATATACACTGTACCAAGACAGGTACAGTACATACATTGTACATGTATCTCATCATGATCTTATCCACACAACCCATCTATGATCTTACCCACACAACCCATCACAAAGTCACCTTCCCAATACATGTCTTCATAGCAACTACATGTACATGTACAATGTAGATTGTAGACACACATTGGCATACAAAAATATAAGAAAAAATTAGTGTACAGAATACATGTTCTGTAATTAACAAATATATAACATCTAAATCACACTGGCTGACAGTGATACACTGTATTACAGGAGTGTTCTTGATCGGAAGAAGCAGAGACAGAGACTGAAGCTGACGCAGAAAAAAGGCTGCAAAGAAAGGGATTCACATCTAACGCTGATGATAGAGAAAGTTGCGATAGAGAGAGAGAGAGAGAAAGAGCCCTCCATTGCAGTACATCAGAAGGCTTTCTAGACACCTGTTACACCAATCCACAGAGTTGCTTGTACCAGTATTTGTGAATGTTAACTGTACAAATAGATAGAGCATACTTTCTCAAAGATATGTATTTCTTGCAACTACAACATGTTTAATAGTGTACGATCAATTGTCACTGTAGAAGAATATACATGTACATTTATGTGTAGGTAAGCAGAAAAGCCTGAAACATCCATCACTGTGAAGTAACCTTACCCACACGAAACAAGTCTAACACATTATATGCAAGATATTGATCATCATTTGCATGTAGGGTTGTGGCTCCATGTAATTACTTACTGTTCATTGTTTGACGTCCTTTTTGAAATACTTAAGGGACAAGAAGACACTCCTTTGAAATGATTCTTAAATCTGTCATTGTTTGATGAGATGGAGAATTGAATGTTCATGTTTTATACTGATGTACATGGGGGCTTATCCCCTTATCATAGAATTATAACCCACATAATTAAGAAGAAAATATATCCAGAAACATTTTTGTGGAACATTGCAAGTTGTAATGTATTAAATCTGTTGTATATGTATGTACGTTTAACAGGTGTAAGTCCTCATTACATGGTTGAAAGATGTCACATCTATAATATTATAATAGCAAGATTCTACAAATCATTACTGAATTGTAGAAATAAATTCTAAAAGTAATTGCTTAATGTTTCCCCCCCCCCTTCAGTCCATGAATATGTAGAAATAAAATTGTGTTCTCACATCTACTGTGTAGCTCAAGACGAATTTTATACTGCTAAATCTACTGTTTCTACTGTATATATTTGTACTTCACTTCTGCACAAAAGTGACAAACCTACGTGGAATTCTTGCAGCACCTGTGTTCACCACATAAGGAGCATGAAACGAGATAAAATAAGTAGAAAAGAAAACAATCTTTATGTTGCTGGATATTGGAATACAATGCTTTCATTCTGTTGACGACAACGTGTTCTACATGAATACACTGTGTACATGTACATGTATGTGGTATGTAAATTGTACAACGTGATTAGTTACGTGTGTTGATTAATATTCATCTACATGTACATGTACATGTTTAGATGCAAAAAGTATACAAAATATCACAAACAAAAAAGAACCATTCATTGTACATATATCGTCTACTACTACATGTACATTTATATTTTGTAGTGCTGCAAAATCAGACATTTCAATTTTCATGACTACATATAATAGAAAAGTGAAATGTCTTTATCATAATGTGCAATGCAAATATGTTAATGTAAAACTTCCGCCATGCATTTCAGAGAGTGCTATGAATTAGTTTTGCTTGATAGTATTTTAGTATGGATGATACATGCATACATATTTTTTTTCTTCTTTTTTCTAGTTTCCCTCCTCCCCTCCCTGTTTTAAAAAAAGAAAGATGGGGAAAGCTTTAAATTCTAAATTTCATACCAAAAAACCTTCAGATTAATGAATTGCCTGCAAAGGCTGGCCACCCCCTTTTTATTCATTAACCTAGTTTGAAGACATGACAAGAAAGAATGATTTCATGAAAGAGCCAAAGAAAATGACATGGTACATCAGGCCTAAACACATACTGTACATTAGTTGTGAGCAAAGCGTGTCTGAAAGAAAATAATGTGGCAGGGGAAGGGGGTGCACTTGTGCCATCACATGCACTGATTTCATCTAGTTTGCAGGTACACACTGTACATTTTTAGAATCTCAGGTACACAAAATGAATGATTGATTTGCAAATACATACCGGGTAAATATTATAGACACACTGTACAACATGTACTGTACAAATAAAGTGTCATTCATTTTGCTTGACAATATTTCAAGATCTTGTTTTTAGAATCTCCTGAAAGACCAGCCATAACTTCTTACCAACATTGTTACATGTAGACTTTTATAGGCCATTGCGCGCTATAATAAAAAGTGTGCATCATCACTCTGTATTATCAAACACAAATCACATTATCACAGAATATACAAGGCCTTTGAAGTGCACAGCAATTTTGAATCTTTGTTTAATCTAAATGGCAATCCATCCTACTACAATTATCTTCATTTTCCTGTGGCACTGTTTTTACCGCATCATGATTAAATAAGGCTTTAGGAAACTTTGTGAATTTCAATCTCTTTTTTGTCTTCCTTTTTTAATTTTGAAGAATGGATTCAACAGATGGTACAGTGGAAGGTATTGAAAGCATTTTATGATTTAAAAAAAGTTCAGTAGAGATCACATCTCACAAGAATGAAAACTGATGGGGAATAGAGATACATACATGTACATGTATGAAATTGATTATGTTGGTATTTTCATGCAATAAACAATAGTTAGGTACATGTAGTACCCTACAAAATGTACATCATGTACATACAATTTATACATGTTACAAGGACAAATGTATCATTCCAAACTTAAAAGTTCAAACATCAAAAATTAACTTTGAACAAAATGTAGGAGTTTGAACATTAACAACAACAGGGTTGGGCATATCTATTTTTGCAACACTACACAAAGGGACAATTAGATTTAAAAAATTATAGTTTGTAAAATTTTGATGTACAGTGCATTTTTTCAGAATACCAAAGATACAACGCAAAGGTTATTATTAGTGGTAAAAACAATTTGATATTCATTAAAATTCTGTGAAATATGTACGTACATGTAGATGTATAGAGGGCCCAATAATACTAACTAAATGCAGGACATGCATAAAATTAGAAGAGATTTTGTTTTAAAATGTAATCAAATCTTTTAGGCACATTTACTGTTGCATATATTAAAGCTTTTGAACTATAAAACATTGAGAATATAAATCACACAAACTGTGTAAGTGTCTGCTGTTGGACAGTTCGCGGATCAATACATGTACATATACTCTTCTGTAAAAGTGTTTGCATCCATTAAAAAGAAGAAGTTTATCATTCATGACTTCACGTATACACTACATGTCCATGTACATTGTACGTATCTCTGGACCTCAATGCAGGTTTAACCGTTTGTTTTCTTGCAAAAATAGACCAAACCTAATTAATACTTGTCCTAGGCACAGAATTTGTTTTCTCCTAAAGACACTGCATTAAAATTCTAGGCGGAACCACAACACATTGAAATTTATCCTTGAAAGTTAGGAGAACACAATCTATGAGATAAGATCAATACAGGTCTATAAATACATGTACATGTACATGTAGACTCAATATCCTCTCCCTATAAATGTTTAACTGCCTTCTGATCCTCAGAAATTAATAAACACTATACAGGGCTCCAAACAAACTGTTGAAATTTAACTTTTTATACTTGCATACATGGCAAGCCTATTGCTAGGTAATTTTTTTGAAATTTTGGGGGTCCAGGGGGGCGTTTTACAAAGCCTTTTTATCAATGACAAATAACAAAAATCAGAGACAAATCTGCTGATAACCAATTAGAAGCAAGGATTTTAGTAGCTTATAACACAAATTGTTCCCAAATTGTCATTTGTCACTAATGACAAGTTTTTTGAAACTCCTCCCCCCCCCCCCCAGACCTTGATTTTGAGTACCAATGTGTCCAGAGCACCTGTTCATGTTGAGCACTGTTACCTTCTTACAGAAAGACTTTTATGATATATTTAATTATCCATATAGGCCTAGATCTACATCTAGAAAATGAATAGCATATTTTTATGTTTCATCTTTATTAAGAAATGTTTTTGACCTAAATATAAACATCCTGAGCGCATTATAAATGCAACTTTTGTTCAGTTCATGTTTTTATGAATTCAGAGCTTACACTACAGCAAACGACATAGTCTACCCATATCCCATCTAACCGCCTGCTCCATGTTCATGTAGGCAGGCTTCATTCAGGCGGGTAAATCTATCTCATGATCTACATGTCACTACACCTAGCACCTACAGTACAATGGAAATGTGACTGTGGAAGCAGAGTAAATTTTGTTCTCTCTTTTAGGATTTAAAAGTGTGCTTTACTCACAATGTCAGTTTGATATTTAAGCTCTTTAATTTTTTGTTATATATTTTTAGAGCTTAATCAAGGCAGAGCTAAATGTCTAACTGCTCCAATGAATTTTGTACTACTGTGTCATGTGTGCAAGTTATATTCATTTATGTATTCCTTTCACAAGTTTGAATTTCAAAAACAAAGGTAAGCGAATCCAAAGCCAAAGGGTAGTCAGCAAAAAATGGGCCTAGGCCCTGGGAGGCTGGGACTCTTCTCACTAGACTAAACATGTTTAATCACATTACATGCAAAACAGACCAATGAATGACAATGTTATCCATCTGTTTACTGTTTGTGTTAAGTCTCTCTTTTTTTTTTACAGCTGATGAAGCTTCAACAACCAAGTCTCATCATTAGAATGATGAATCCATCACAAAAATACATCCACTTTTTAAAATTCAAAGTTAGACATCAACATGAATAATTTCTGTTATCATAAATAACAACCTCATCAATTTCATCCTCAATTCTGGTTGTCTCGACTCGAATTCCACTTTGTCTTTACTCTTTACGACGATTTCAGTCTTTACAATGTGATTTTGAAATTCAATGTCAACATCATACACCATCAGTTCTAACATAGTCTAATTAAGAGATCAACACACATCATATTGATCAAGGTCCATATCTAAGCCGGTGACTTGACTATGAACAACTAGCCAGGTAACAATATCTGGAGCTGCTCAACTCACACTGACCGAGACGAGGGCCTTGCCTGGCTTTGGTCTACATTCGTGGTCGCACAGCAGTGAACCTGTGCCTGTGGCCATACGTGTATACACAACCTGCATTGCAAATGTTCACTCACAAAAAATACTTCTTTACACTCGTATTTTCACATCCATGACAACTACAACCTTACCGTAACTTTCAGGTTTGTCCCCTTGTTTAGATGCTGGGTTATTCCCCATGTCAGATGGCTGAAAAACTGATCAGGACCCGGTGAAACATGCACGGGGTTGTTATTTTTCACAGTAAAATCATAGGCAGGCTAGGTTCGCTAATAAATTGCCCTCGCAGTGCATCTAGATCCGGTTCACGGGTACCGTACCCTTTCCATGCAATTGTATCGGAGCAATGTATTATCGATATGCAATCCATTGATCCGCTATGCGAATTATTGTGCACTTTGTCGTCATATAGTATTTGGGATGGCTTCACAATCCACTAAAAATCGATAATTGTGTCAAGCGATACTGGGTGCCGATATTGTACTTGTCGTATTAGCTGTTCAAAAAGGGATCAGTCCGCTTCAATATTTACAAAGTTTTAAAACCAGGTAAAAAACAAATCATAAATCTAGTACATTTATAACAAATATGAAATAAACAAATGACTCTAATTGCAGTATTACAACAATATAGAAGCAATTTCGAAATGTGGCTGACAGACATTATAACTGCTCAACAATACCACCATTACATATGGTTCGGTAGGGGGGGGGGGGGGGCAGTGGCCTCTTAATATCCATAATATAGCATAATGCATATAATTTAATTATATGCCACCACTACTAATAATGATAAAAAGTAGAAACAAACGGGTAAACAACCAATCACATTAATAAATAAATGAATAAACAAATGAATGAATGAAAGAATAAATAAATAAATACATAAACCAATCAATTAAAAAGTAGAAAGAATGATTGAATAAATAGATAGATAAATAATTCCTAGAAAAAATTAAAATCAGAGTACAACATGGGCCTTTATAGCCCAACAGTCGAAAACAATAATAATCTTTAGGGGCACAGGCAGGGATTTTACCGTAAAGGCATAGTATTAGACCCACCATCCAGGCAGAAAGTTTTCAGATATATTAAGATCTACAGCATATCATTCTCTACACGTATGAAATCATTTCTACCTATAAAATGTAATTATTTGGTATTTCTCTCGCGCGCTATCGCAATTAATTCACGTTCTCACTGGCGCAGATGGCGCTGTTAAAAGTATGAAGTTTACCACGTTTACTGGAAGGCAGTACAACTAGAAATAGGCCTGTACTCACAACATTACACATTATTTTATGAAAGCTTATTAACCCAGAGGCAAGCTTCCCATTCCTATAATTGTGTATGCTGCCACCTACTGTCATTATCATCTATCAACTATTATCCCTGGTTTGGAATATTAAGTTAACCGGTGACTATCCAGTGGTGTATCCAGAAATGCATTGGTTGATTCCGTGGGCATATACAGCAATCATTATCATTTTTTGGTTTTGTTTCTTGTGTTAGTTTTTTTTTTTAAATTTGTATGGTTGTTTGTTAGTTTTAAACTAGGGTGTACGGCGGCTCCATTCTATACTCTAGGGGAGTATACACCACTGACTATTTGCATCCCAAAAATAAAGCAGGGCTGCTTTGCCAAAGGGGCGGGGCGGGATGGAAACTGGCCTTACCCCCCCCCCCCCCCCCCCCCCCCCCCCCCCCCCATTCTGTGAACGGAGGGATACCATGCGTGATCCCAAAATGTCCGGTAAAGGGGTACTTTTCACGCACCAAAGTCCGGCTCATAGTACACAAAAATCCGGCCCGTATTGACTTTACACACCAGACTTAGGGGGTGTTTTCTAAAGGAGGGAACATGCATATGCGTACCCTAAATAACACTGAGTGGGGGGCCGAGGCCTGACCAGAAATCTTCTTCATACTATTCCTAAATGATTTCCTCCAACCTGTTACCATGTCAGAATAGAGAATAACGTGCATACAGGACTCAGAATACAGAATTTTTTTTGCAGCAGCAGAGTTCCAAGAAGACTTATCACCCCCCCCCCCCCCCAATTTAATACTACTTCGAATGATTTATGAAAACTACTGACAATCAAACGTTGGATATTGCAAGTGAATATCTGAACATTTGTAGAGGGAAATAATCATAATCACGGTGTTCAAGCATAACTCAAGGATGGATATAGGCATTTACATTCATAATGGTATTCTATCTATACCGGTATATATTTTTTCTTCAATATCGGACATTCTCGAGTAAAACTTTTATTGGGAAAATAGAATCGGAGATGTTTTTTTTACAAATTGGAATTTATACCATATACATGTACATGCATTCAGGCGCGTACTCAGGGGGGGGGGGGGGGTTGGGGGTAATTTTTTTGTGTGTAAACCCCCCCCCCCCCCCTTTTGGATTTTTGGGGACCGAAAAAAAAGGAAAAAAAGTGACCTCTTATCCCCCCCCCCCCCCCCCCCCGCTTATTCAGCGGCTGGCTGAGTCGTTGCGAAATTTTCGGCCTGATTTATAAATGTTAAAACCCCCCCTTGAAAATATCCTGCGTACGCGCCTGCATGCATTGGTTTTATTTTCGAAAGCAATAGCATGCATGCACCAATTTCCAACAACAAACATCAATGCGAGTGTGACTGCTAGTTCTTCTTTATAAAAAAAAAGGGGGGGGGGTGACACCCAGCATTCCCCTTTCCTGGTAACGCGACCTTAAATTGGTCGTCGGTTGTCACAACATTAAGTGGAATGGCGCAAATTAAATTAACATTGTCAGTATACAGTGCAATCCATAGAAGTAAGCTCTACCCTTACTCGTATATATTATGCAAGAAAAAAATAGTCGCCTTTGGCATATTTTCTTTCCTCCATGAAAATGCAGCGTCTCCCTTTGCAGCGCAAGGAAGAGTCCTCCGATCCACGAGAAGAGAAGAGGAGAGGATAGAGGAAGAGAAGATAGGAGAAGGGAAGAGAAGAGAAGAGAAGAGGAGAGGGAGAAGAGGAGAGAAGAGAAGAGAAGAGAAGAGAGAGAGAGAGAGAGAGGGAGAGAGAGAGGCAAGGGGGGAAATAAATCTGATTATTATAAGCAGACTTCTAGGGAGAAAAAAAATGAAAGAGATGGGTTGAGAAAGGGAAGGAAGTTGAATAATAGTTGACATACTGAAGAGGTAGAGTTGTGAGTTTACAGGTAGGCCCTATTATATAGTTTCGGAGGGGGGGGGCAATGCAGACTTAATCTATATTCTTTTACAATAAGAATAGGTAACATAAATATAGAAGAAAACAAAAACTCATAATCTAAATAAGAAATATAAGCAACGAATAGAATAGTTTCTTTAAAGGTATTACAAAGTTTTGGTATGGGGTCATGAATTTGGTTCAAATTAACATATTGGAAGCATGCGTTCGTACAATATTTATTGATCGTTGTCCCGGTTGAAATCGAGTCTAAAGTTATGAAATTATAAATAATAAACTCTTTATGTTGTATAGCTCCCTCTCAAGGTCAAGATATCAATTTAGCTATGAAACAATGTTTCTTGACTAAAATCGACCGATTAGCTATTCCCGTTTGGAAATTATATATCACAATTACATATTCTGAGATTTTCATGGTCGCAGCTACCATTGTACGGCCGTAGGCACTATTTGAAATTTATCAAAATTTACCGGGAGCACCGGTAAATTTTTATATTCAATTTTTCTCGAAAACAGAAGTGTTTTAGGGGTTAATTCTTTAAGTGCTTATAATACATCCACAGGGGCATCCAAATATATCAAAATTGTAAAGATTCACTATCCACCCAATTTTCAAATTTTCCCAAAACTTTGTATTACCTTTAATAGATGGATATCTTATTTCTCCCATGTTCGAACATAATAGTGTAGGCATAATTTTTAAAGGAGTAATAGAACTCTCCAAACCTTATCATAATTATACAATCATAATGATTACAATTTTTCGAGAATATTCGGGTATGTTTTGAAGTGTGTTGATATATATGTAGCCTATGCACATTCTTGCATTCAGAAATAATGAACAGTATACCTTTAAATCACATGGGGAGGAAATAAAATAGTAAAAAGCAGAAAATGAAGAGGCTAACTGAAATCCAGTGTGACAACGGAAAGCAACATGGTTTATATTAAGAACAATAATGTGATTGGCTACCACCGTTTTGATCCATGACATCTTGACAAAGGGGTGTATCATTTTTTCTTTCATTCATGCGGACTTGACCCTTGTAAAATAAAGCCTTGACACTTTACTAATGAAGGACTTGACACTATCCGAAATAATTAAACTCTCAAACGCATCGTATTGCATCTGGGGTGCCCTCCATCTTTAAAAACACCTTGTCGAGTTGAAGAGCTCCTTAATTTTTATATTCAATTTTTCTCGAAAACAGAAGTGTTTTAGGGTTAATTCTTTAAGTGCTTATAATACATCCACAGGGGCATCCAAATATATCAAAATTGTAAAGATTCACTATCCACCCAATTTTCAAATTTTCCCAAAACTTTGTATTACCTTTAATAGATGGATATCTTATTTCTCCCATGTTCGAACATAATAGTGTAGGCATAATTTTTAAAGGAGTAATAGAACTCTCCAAACCTTATCATAATTATACAATCATAATGATTACAATTTTTCGAGAATATTCGGGTATGTTTTGAAGTGTGTTGATATAATGTAGCCTATGCACATTCTTGCATTCAGAAATAATGAACAGTATACCTTTAAATCACATGGGGAGGAAATAAAATAGTAAAAAGCAGAAAATGAAGAGGCTAACTGAAATCCAGTGTGACAACGGAAAGCAACATGGTTTATATTAAGAACAATAATGTGATTGGCTACCACCGTTTTGATCCATGACATCTTGACAAAGGGGTGTATCATTTTTTCTTTCATTCATGCGGACTTGACCCTTGTAAAATAAAGCCTTGACACTTTACTAATGAAGGACTTGACACTATCCGAAATAATTAAACTCTCAAACGCATCGTATTGCATCTGGGGTGCCCTCCATCTTTAAAAACACCTTGTCGAGTTGAAGAGCTCCTTAAAACAACAACTCCGCCATGTCTTTAAGAAACAAAAGGACGAGGGTGATGGAATTGAGACGCACTGGACAATTATTATTCACACTGACCGGGTGGGCAGTTTATAATGCCGGATTTGGATGAGAGAGGGGAAGTGTTATCATCATGATTATGGGCACGGCTAACGCCGGGGACAGCGTTTATATCGAGGGCTGCCTGGTGGAGTGTCCGTGTGAAACT